GTAAGAATCAGCCTAAGACTCCTCTCCTTTTCATGTCAATAAAGGAAACAGGAAAAGGTCAACATATACAGAAAAGTCTCAATTTAAGAAAAAAAGGAAATAATTACAATCCATAGCACTTTTGGTTTGAAAGGATTAAGTCTCCAAGGAATTTTAAAAGTTATGAGATTGAAAAGAAAATATAGGAACCAGTTTCAACATTTCAGCACTATTCAGGTTTTAGAAAAGCAGCATTCAGAAAGAACAGAAGTAACCCAGAGTAAGAGGGACTCAACTGTTTTGGGTCTGTCCATAAGAAGAACCATAGCTGCTCTGGCCATAGCCTGAAGTGTCTGCTGACTGGCCATAACCACTGTAACTCTGCTGTCCATAGGGCTGATTGCTCTGCTGGGAGTAGCCCTGCCCAGGCTGGGTGGGGTAGGCCCCATAGCTAGAAAAAAAGAAAAAGCTGCACTGAGGAAAAATTACCTTGGAAAAGAAAAAAATGAAAAACAAAAAAATACAAAAGGGAGAATTACCTTGACCACCCTTGCCCTTTACAAACTCTGGAAGCCCAAAAATGGCACTCACCTTTGGGTTGCTTGTTGAGTATAGTCTGCAAAACAAAAACACAATCACATTATCTTCTAATCACAGAAGTAAATTCCTCAACTTAAGTGCTAGGGCCCCAGATTAAGAAAAGCCAACAAAATTTTATTGCAAGAAAAGGCATAAACCCCCCACGAGATACTAATTTGTAGACAAGATGGCAATACAAGTTTTCTTACAATAAAGAAAAACAATACAAATTTCTTCAAAGAATCTGAGCAAGTTCAAAGATCTTGGTGGACAGCTATTATGTTCTGCAAACTCAATGCCACAAGCTGCTCTAAATTTACATATATTTCATTTTCACATCTGTTTTAGGAGAAAGCTATTATATTAGTTAAGATTCAGTATAAAAGAGCACAGGTTTGAATTCAAGTCCAAGACAATGGTGTTCACAATGTGGCACCCTCAGTAAGACCAAAGAATAAGATTTGTCTCTCAAAAAAAGCCGTTCTTCACCCCTTTGACCAACCTTGGAAAAAGCCAAAGTGGTGTTTTAGCACAGAGGCAGAGAACCAAGACAACAAAGACCTTTGACCCAAAATGTCAAAGACAAAAGTGATGTCCTCAGGAGGCAAAGTCACCTGATCCTCAAATCCCCAAGCCTGTGGCTTCAGATTACTGTTTTCCACAGAGATGAAGAGATTCATCAAGCTAAAAGCAGAAAACACTTTCAAAATGCTATATTAAAAACGCACTAGGCAAGATCGGGTCATCTCTTCTGTACAGGAAATGAAGCACTTCCCCCGCAGGAAAAGGCAAAACGACAGCGAGAGGGCGTGGCCTCGGGGGCCGTTCTTTTCGGTTCTCACCTCAGAAAAAGGAAAATTTAGGCGGGAAACCGTAGGGACCCTGTCCCCCAGTCCGTTGATCAATTTCCCTGGCCGTCCCCAACCGTTAAGCGGGCGCGAAGCCCCGATCCCGAGCCTCCGCCCCGGCCGCGTGGCAATCTGGGCGGGAACCGAGCAGTCCCGCCCATTCCCTAAGGACCCCAGGGGCAAGGCCCACACCGGACGCGCGCGGCGGAGTCTCCTGAGGGTCTCGCGACAAAAAGTCGGACCAACACGAGGCGGAGAAGTGGGATACGCGCGGCGAGAAAGGGGGAGGGGCCAGCAGGGCGCGTGCGCGCACCAAATGCCCGGATGCAGCACTGCGACAAAGCGGACCAGAGCGCGGGGTTGGGGAGGGGGAGGGGGCCTATGCTAGAGAGACTTGGCATTTCCAACCTCCCTTTATGCTTCAATCACCAAGTCGCCTCCCTCCCAACACTCACCTCATATAAACGCACTGCAAAACCAAGACTTTCAATCCCGCGAGAGTCGCCAGAGGAGCGAAACAAAATGGCGACACCGACCTGCCCCTTCTACTTTCTCCGCCACCTCCCGCCACAAGGGTGCGAGACCTTACACACGAACGCCTCCCCAGGCCCACCGAAAATCAAAAGCCCAGCTGGGAAAGAACGAAGCCCTGACTAGGCGCACCACAGCCGCCTCGCGCCCTTACATACCGTTTGAGGCCATGTCCGCGCACGCGCGCACAGGCCGCCAAGCAACAAAATTCCGACACCACTGAGCACCGCCGCCTCGAGGACTGAGCAACCCCGCCTCCTGCGTCGAGGTTTATGTACGCCTCCCCGCCTACGTACCGCGGCGAATGTACCAAATATGGAAAAGGAAAGGGGAAGAAGGATCGTATTCCCAACATTTTCCCAGGAATAAATGAGTTCAAACAGACAAAAAAGAAATAACAGCTATAAATTGATATCCTAATGTATATTATAATTTTTTGACGAATAACTCCTGTTTATTTTGAAGGACTAGCCCCCAACTCACGTCAACCCCTATATGTACACAATGGTATGGTCTAGCTGCCTACTGGGGGCGGGGCGAGAGGGCCCAGGCGGTTGAGGGCGGAACTGTAGTCACGGCCTGGAGTCCTAGTGTGGGAACTGAAATTCCTCTGGGTGGCCCCTTTCGCTGGCCTCACTTTCACTCTCCGTGGTGTGTTTCTGTCCTCCGTTGCCCTTCCACTGTATCAGACGCCTCGTTTAGTCCGACCACTAACCTCTCTGGTTCTAACGTTTCCTCACTACCCACCCTCTCTCCGTGTGCCTGCTTTTTCACAAAACGGTTTCAGGAGCCTTTTCTTTAGTCTTTACCAGGATTTGTAGATTGTGACGTTTGACCTGAAAGAAAGCATGGACGTTAGCCTGGTTTCCTGGGTTTTAGATTTTTAAGCAAGACCCTTTCCACTTAGCCGTCCATAGGGAAAGCCCAGCAGGCCCTCCTTCCGCTTCAAGAACCATTGACGTTAGATTTGGGGTCCCCAGCCTTTTACTGGAAGGATCTACTTTTTATTTTTCTGAAGCACTACCAAGGAGCCAGTGTGCAGATCCCAGGAATCTGTATAAGGCTTAATCAATGGTTTCAAAATGTACCATTGATGTCTTTCCCATCACAATCTTGTTAAAGTAAAAAAGATTTCCATTTTATAGATAAGACCAAGAACAATCTGTGATTATAGTGCAGCTAAGGGTCAGGACTTAAGGTACCGGTTCAGGTGTGAAATGTCCCCCAAAAGCTATGTGTGCGACAATGCAATTAAGTTTGGAGATGAAATGATTGGGTTATGAGACTTTTAACCTAATCAGTGCATTAATCTTTGATAGGGATTAACTGGGTGGTATCTAGGCAAGTAGGGTGTGGCTGAAAAGTACCCTGGAGGCACACCTTTGGGGTACAGGTTTTGCCCTTGTTGAGTGGAGCCCTGTTGTCCCTTGTTCCCTGCTGTTTTCCTCCACCACAAACTTCTGTTTTGATGTTATGCCTCATCTTTAAGGATGAAGTCGGCTGTCTATGAACTGAGACCTCTGGAACTGTGAGCCCCAAAATAAACTTTTACAACTTAAAATTGTTCTTGTCAGATCTTTTGGTCACAGCATTTTAAAAGCTGACTAAAGGGGCTGGGGTTGTGGCTCAGTGGCAGACTGTTTGCCTAGCATGCATGAGGCACTGGGTTCATCCCCAGCACCACATAAAAAAATGAACAAATAAAATAAAGGTATTGTGTCCACCTACAACTAAAAAAATAATTTAAAAAAAAACTGACTAAAGCAACTCCTTATTGAAATCCAGGTTTGTGTAACAGCAAGACACTCCTTTTGTTGGTTACATGGAGGCCTTAGAATGCTTGAAACCCTGTGTGCTTCCTGTGAAAACAAGGACAAAATATGAAATTCAAATTAACTTCCAACTTGTGCAATAGAAAAGCTCTTATTCATGAAGTCAACAAATATTTACCAAGTACCTACTATGTTCCACGCACAGTTCAGGGCACTGGGGTTGCATCAGTGTTCAAAATAGATGAAACTGACAATAACAAAGTTAGAATTTAATAACACATTATTATAATATTTTTTAATTTGTATTAACTTTTGGTACAGGGATTGAACCCAGAGGTGCTTTACCACTAATCTACATCCCCAGTTCTTTTTATTTTTTGTTTTGAGGCATGGTCTTACTAAATTGCTGAGGCTAGCCTCAACTTACAATCCTCTTGCTTCAGACTCCCAAGTCACTGGGATTACAGGCATGAATCATAAAGCCTGGCAATATATATTTTTATAGACTATATAATAGCTCACATGTTGATAAGATTAACTAAGTGGCAGGCACCTCTGAGTGTTTGGAGTATAACTTGTTTTTGTTTTTGTTTTATTTTCTTCTTTTCCAGGGACCCATGTATTTTTGGCAAATGCTCTACCACTGAGCAACACCCCCAGCCCTGAGTATATAACTTGTTTAATTTTATTTTTCACAATAAAATGTTGATATAGTACATTTTACAGATGACGAACTAGGCAAAGAAAGATCCAAAACTGTGCCCAAGGCAACAGAGTGACTCATTCCTGTAATCCCAGCAGCTTGGTAGACCGAGGCAGGAGAATCACAAGTTCAAAGCCAGCCTAAGCAATTTAGGGAGGCTCTAAGCAACTTGGTGAGACCTTGTCTCAAAATAAAAAATAAAAAGGTCTGGGGATGTAGCTCAGGGTAAATTGCCCCGGGTTCAATCCCCTGGTACCAAAAAAAACAGAAATTGTTTCCCAACCCAGGTGGCTTAACATACTTCCTATTCTTATTCCTAACCATCACACTTCATCAAACATCACTTTGAGCACTGACTAGTACATACCAACCCTTATAGCCAGGGAGTAAGATGTGAGGAAGGTACATAACCAACAAAGTGTGCTGACGTCAAATGTAATTGCCTGGAATATGGAATAAAAGATTTTGAAAATCCCTCCAGGGGAATAAGTCCATTAATCAGGTGGACAATTGCGGGACACTAAAGAGAGATGGTAAGTAACCAGTTGAGGTAGTGTACGTGAGCTACTCAGGAGGCTGAGGCAGGAGAAGTACAAATTCTCAGGCCATTCTGGGCAACTAAGCTAGACCCTAAACCCTATCTCAAAAAGGCAGGGGTGGGGTGGGAGGATGTCTACACCTGAAATTCCATCCACTCCTGAAGCTGAGGTGGGTTGATCACCAGTTCAAAGCCAGCCTCAGCAATTTATGGGGGCTCTAGGCAACTTAGTGAGACCCTATTACTAAATAAAATTTTAAAAGGGCTAGGAATGTGACTCAGTAGTTAAGCACCCCAGGTTCAATCCCTGGTGAGGGTTGCAGTATAGGGGAAGATGAAGGTGTAGCTCAGAAGTAGAGTGCTTATTCAACTTACACAACAGCTCCAGTTCATGCCTAGCACTGGGGTTAAAAAAAAAAAAAAAAAAAAAACCTATTCCTAGGCATGATGACCAAAATTGCTTCTAGGCATCGCCAAATGTCTCTGGGTCAGAGCAAAATCACCCCAGGTTGAGAACCACTGTAACAATAGCTTTCCCATTGGATATATATATATATATTTTGGGGGCGGGGGTACTTAACCACTGAACCACATCCCCAGCCCATTTATATTTTATTTAGAGACAGGATCTTGCTAAATTGCTCAGGGGCTTACTAATTTGCTGAGGCTAGCTTTGAACCTGTGATCCTCCTGCCTCGGCCTCCAAAGCTGCTAGATTATAGGTGTGTACCACTGCACCCAGTTTACCATGAGATTTTTAAAAATAAAATAAGTAGATCAAAGCACATAACTAGGAATACCACCCAAGCTCTATAATGGGAAGAAGGGGAACAAGGTGCTGAACAAGGTATGTTACTACTTTAGGTTTGACTTTGGTATTAAGGATTGAATCAAGGAGCACTTTATCACTGAACTATATTCCCAGCCCTTTTTTGAGACAGCATCTCACTAAATTACCTAGGCTGGCCTCAAACTTGTAGTCCTTCTACCTCAGTCTCCCCAGTAACTGGGATTACAGGCATGCACCACTTCACTTGACTCTTTGGGGTTTTTTTTTTTAAAGGGGGAGGAGAGTTGCTAACATATTTATTTATGCATAAGGTATCTTTACTAATTCAAAAAGGAAATCAACCTTAACAAAGTCATGGCAGGCAATAACAGGATATT